CGCTCATTTGTACCCCATCAATGACTTCTTCCTCATCCGTTGATGAATAATTGCTGTCTGAATCGCTCTCGAAGTCACTATTATTTATTTCATAGCTCAAATCACTATCACTTTCGAGATCCGAATCCATTTTTCTACTATAAAACACAATTACGTATCTAAATATAAACAGAACAGGCAATAAAAAGAGCACGTGCTCTCTCAACAATACCTAAAAGTGTACTAAATAAATAATATAAATTTCGCCGCTGCTTGGGTTGCCACCAGACTGAACGTCGACCTTGAGCTGTTTACATTATTCTGGGAATTTTGTAAAAAAATGACTAATCATGATATCGCCGTATGGATATCCATGTCCTACCGTAATTCAAATTATTCTACAGAGCACTACACCACTTTTACAGAGTGCAGTAATATCCCTGTATGAATATCCGTATGTGGATATCGTGGTAGAGTTCGCCATACCTAAAAATATCCATACGTGGATACGATGGAGCGGAACAGGTTAAATACACACAACAATAGGAACCACCGCTTAATGGAAATACACCAAAGGTCGAAGGAATAATCCGAAGTAATTATACCTAATCACTTGCACCCAGCCGAAATATTCATTCAGCTACACGTGGACGGTGTTAGAGATACCCTTCCCGTTTACACACACATTTTCTGGCATTGTAGAATCATAATTAAATATTCGATACTAGGATATTGTAAATGGTTTTTTATTGACAACTGAAGTCTTTTTGAAGTACTACGACTAAGGATTTCCACAGTTTTCACTGTCTTCCTGCACTCAACCGTTTTCTCCAATTTTCCCTGTCATTCCAGTCTCCATCTCGCAGGGTTCTTTTCTCCATAGCCTCGTCGATTTCGTCTCTGAATGACCTTCGGGGTCTTCCTCTCTTTCTTCTTCCGGTCGGGCTCCATTCTGTGATTTTGTTTATCCAGCGTCCTATGTCCGCTCTCATGACGTGGCCGTACCAGGATAGTCTCTTCTCCTCTATATAGTCGATTATGTCTGATTGCACTCCCATTCTCCGCTTAATCTCTGCGTTTTCAATTCTGTCTCTTTTTGTAAGTCTACAGCTTCTCCTCAGGAATTCCATTTCTACTGCTCTTATTCTACCTCTATTTCTCTTGTTTATTGTCCAGTTTTCGGACCCATATGTCAGGATACTTCTTGTCAGGGTATTATATATTCTCTTTTTTGTCTTTATCGTAATGTTCTTATCCCACAGCACTGAATTTAGTTGTCTTATACAGTTTCTTGTTTGTCTTAGTCTGTTGTTTATATCTTCTTCTGTTGTTCCCTGATTCGATATTATGGTTCATTTACTTGTCTTCCCTCGTCTATCTCTAGGTTTCTCATATCCTTGTTTTCTGTTGGTAAGTATTCGGTTTTCTCTAAGTTTATTTCCATTCCGTTGTTTTTATATTCTTCTTCTAGTTTTCTGAGCATAAAGCTGAGATCTTCTTCATCTTGTGCGATGACTACTTGATCGTCGGTAAAACTTAAGGTGTATAGGTATTCGTCTCTTACTGGTATGCCCATTCCTTCACACTTTCTCCTCCATGGTTTGAGTGTCTTTTCCAAGAATATTTTAAACAGAGTAGGGGACGTAGCACAGCCTTGTAGAAGTCCTTTTGTCGTCTTAAATGGATTGTAGGCTTTATTTCGACATTTAATAGCTACTTTGTTTTCTTTGTACAGTGCTTTAACTGCTTTTATTAGTGTTTGTCGGATTCCGAGATCATTCATTGCTTCCCATAATTTGACTCTGAGTATTGAGTCGTATGCTTTCTTTAGATCAACAAACGCCAGATGTACCGGTCTACCTTTTGCCATTTTCTTCTCTATCAGTTGTTCTAATGTGTACGTATGATCTAGGCATGATTTTCCTACTGTTAACCCTGCTTGGTATTCTCCAATTTTTCCTATTATTTCAATTTCTAGTTTTTCCTTGATAATTTTCCCGTAAAGTCTACCTACCGACGATATTATGCTAATTCCTCTGTAGTTTTCACATTTTTTACTGTTTCTTTTCTTATGTATGGATGTGATGTATGCTTGTGTCCACTTCGCAGGTATTTCCTCTCCATTTAGTCCTCTTTCGAACATTCTGCATCTTTGCATCTTTGTTAGGTAAGTTTCCAGTAGCTCAAAAATTTAAAATTCTTTGAACACGACTGCTAGTAATAGCGTGCATATTACAAAATGCCGTACGACAAACTAAAAAACTTTTTGTTCCTATTTTCATATGGTACTTTTATGAAAATTTACGTTTCGCTAATGGTAGCCTTTCTCCTTCTAGATACTTTTTTTACGTCCAAAAGGGCACCTAAATAACTATACTAAATATTTTTATCCCCCATTATATATAAGTTTGTAAAAATGTCTTTTTTTTTTCAACTCTGTAAACTTGTAAACGAAACTCTAATTCTGACATGTGCATCTAGGTCCCTGCCTTTTCTGAGGAATACCTATTCCCTTCGTGGTGACATACTGCTGACCACAATTCCTTGCCAGCTTCGCCGGTTTCGTTTCCATCCTGAAGGTTAACGCTTTCTTTTTTTGACCTTATGGATGCATCAGTTTTTAGTATTATCTAAAAAAAATTAACAAAATATACAGAGAGCAAGGTAAAACCCAAAAATACGTCTAAGACTGTACTCATAAAATTATTAATTATTTTCTACTAGACAGGGAAGTAAAACGTTTTTTATTGTTTTTTTTAACCCTCGATGTAAAACGGAGTAAGGTTATAATTTATTTTAATGTGTGTAAGTGTGAAGTGTGTATCTGTGTCATCGTAGCTCCTAAACGGATAAACCGATTTTGCTTTAGTTTTTTTTTTAATTTGAAAGATCATTTAGTCGAAAGTGTAAACTATCTACATATTGTTAGTCCTGATTCAACAAATTCAGTTCAGCCGTTTAGAAGTTATGAACGGTTAAAAAAACTCATGATTCTTACCTTTATTATTTTCGCTGCTGGATGAGTCACTGGTGGAATCGCTTTCTGTAGTAATATGCTTGTTTTGGAACTAACGTACAGTTGCGGTCACGGAATAGTTTACAGGTTCACGTATCTAGGAGCCCATTTTTTAAATTTTTACTTCGTTTAAACGCACCTTTTACGTCAAAGTGACGTTGCCAGTGGTGTACTAGCTAGAATAGGTAGATTAAAATTAAAATATCAAAATATTTTACAAAATGAAAAATATAGAAAACAGTTTTTTGAATAAAATGGATTATGATCTTAATAACGAAAATAAAGAAGTCTTTTTTTTTAATATGCATTTTATTTTAAATCTATTTTATATTAAATAACGATAAACAATGATAAATAATAATTAATATTTGGTGGAAGCCCCATTCTTGTCAATACAATTTTGCAGTCTTCTGTTCATAGATAGCACCAATCCCCTCATGTTATAGTTAACAAGCTCTTCCCATGCCTGCTCAATTGCTTCCCATAATTCAATTCTATTCCGTGGTCTAAGGTTTCTTTCATTTAGTTTCTTTGTTAACTCTGCTCACACATTTTCGACGGGGTTAAAGTCTGCACTACGGGAAGGCCACGGAAGAACATTAACATCAGTTTCTTCTAGCCATTCTCGAACAATTCTACTCGTATGCACCGGGCAATTGTCATGTTGGAAGATAAAGTCGTTGTTGGGGAATCTCTGGATCACCGATGGCAACATTGTGTGCTCAATAATATGTTTGTAATATAATCCTGTTAACTTCTCCTCTACATGATAACAAACGCCCGGGCCTTCGGCACTTATCCATCCCCATACGTTGACAGAGAATCCTCCACTATTTCTTAAATGATGCGTATACTGTTCATCATACCTATGATTTCTCGGCCTATAAACTCTTATTCGACCATTATTATACGACTGAAATACTTTTTCATCGGAAAATACAACCCTACACCAAAAATTCTCATCGCGGTTTATAAATTCATTACAAAATTCAACTCGTCTCCTCTTGTGATCCTCAGTCAAAAAAGGTTTCCGTGCAGCTACACAATTTAGCAGTCCACTTGCTTTAATTCTTCGACGTGCAGTGCGAATACTGCCTGGAAACGCTGCCTCTTCTCTTGCCTTTTGAGCTGTGGCAAAAGGAGATTCTCTCAAATAATCTACTAACATCTCATCCTGTTGATCTGTGGAAATCTTCTGCCCTCCTGAACCGCCCAACCGTGCTATAGAGTGAAAATTATCCCATCTTTGTTTAATCTTCCATATGCACATATGACTCACGTTCAAATCAGCAGCAACTTGCCTTAGTGACCAACCTTCTTCGAGTTTGGCAATTGCTCTTGCTTTTTGCGCATAATTCAAATGTATTCTAACCATTTTGGAAGAGTTTAATATACTTTTATTTTATTGTTGAACACTCGCGAAAGCATTGACGTTTTGAAATTTTTTGACTTTGACATTTATCAAATCCGTACGACACTGCAATTTTACAGTATTACAATATAAAAAGTAAGGTGTAAACTATTCCGTGACCGCAACTGTACATTGCTTGTAGTTCCAGAAAAACTAGGAGTAGCTGGTTCTACTTCTGTAAAAACCATTAAACAACCTTAGATAAATAATTAAATTCAAAAAAGAACCAAAAAACTTACCCCTTGTATTTTTCTGGCCAGTATCACTTTCCAATACATAATCGAGATCATCTTCACTATTATCACCAAAAGGATCACTTCCGCTGCCGAAACACTCTCAAAACTACTCAACTAACAAGATTAATATTCGTATCAACACCACACAAAAAGTAGAGTTCGCTCTCACTACCTGTTGGGGGGAAAATCTCATTTTTGTAAAAAATGGTATTTAGAATGTTTTTTGCACCAAGCCCTTCAACTGATTTTGACTCAAAAGTACTTTACTTTTTGGGTGAGATTTAATTTATTGGAGAAATCTGTTTTGTAATTGCTGTCTGCAAAGTTTTTATTAAATGTCAATAATTTATATTTTTAGGCGAAAGTGAGCAAATCAGGTCCAGCGTTTACACTGAAAGTAAATGGACGAGTAGGTAATGATAATGTGGCCTTAGACATAGACTTGGTTCCGTGTTTTAGATTTTCGCAAGATAAGTGGCCTAAGGGTCAGTTCAGACAAAATCCAACTTCAACAAAGGTAAGAATATATTATTATGACGACCAGGACTCTTTTTCTAACTAGATTAGTCCATATACGGTCAAGAACTCAACACATTATACACTACACACATCTCTTTTCCCAAAATATAGGAGCGGATTTGTTTCTTAGACATATAGGTTTCTGCGCCAAATGTTTTCTTTTATTAATTTTCTTATCTCTTTATATTTGTTTGTAGGTAAATTATAGACCTAGACCTCGCAAATACTATAATAACAATAAACACAGTTTCCTTCGTCCTTATATAGTGACGTACACCAGGAGGAGGGTATGTACATATACTCTTATAGAGTTTTTCTCGTTAAGAACGGAGCGTTGCGTAGATAGTGTATTTCTTATAGTATAGTCCTACCAGAGATCTAAGCGAGTCATTAATATTTATTATCGATATGTGTCTACTGCAACGGTCTTTATCATTGTCTACTAAAGTTATATGTAATAGTTGCAAAAATATTTATATACACTACATTCACATATTTACAAATCTTTATAATTTCTAAATTGAGTACAAAAAGTACAAAGGTAAAAATAGATTAGAAAATTATTTTCAAAATTGAGGTATACCTAAAAGCTGGTTTTGTACCGTTATCAACTGAATTATTTATTTATTTATCGTATGGCAATTACAACACAGTTAGAACAAAATTACAAACACTAGTAATATAGGTATATGACAAACTTTAAATAATTACAAACAAACATAAAGTGTATTAACATAATCAATTGACTCTGAAGTTGCAAACAGGAAGTCTTCAGGGCTACCGTTGTAGGATCTTGAGGGACACTCTTCAATAATGTGGTCGATCGTTTGGTTCTTCCCACAGTCACACTGAGGAGACGGATTCTTTCCCCATTTATGTAGCATATATGCACATCTGCCATATCTGGTTCGGATCCTGTTTAGAGTGGTCCTTAACTGTGTTATTTCGAAATAAACTTGCTGCTGTAATATTCTTGGTCCATTATATACCTCTTCTTCTAGCTCAAAGGTGTTATCTCTTTGGTCTTCAAATAGTTTTTCTAGATATTCTTTCCACGTTCTTATTTTAGTCTGTGTGTCCAAGATGATGTTTCCGTCAGAATCAGTTATATTTCCTTTCTGCCTTCATCTTAGCCTCCCTGCGAGTTCTTTAATTTTCATATGTACATTGTGACTATCGTATTTTGACGGTTGAGTCTCAATCAGCATCTTTCCCTTGCTTCTTTTTTTTACGCTTCTCTGATTTTCGTTCTTATTAATATATTTAGAGGTTATTATATAGGTTTTAGATTTGTCTGGGTCATTTTTGACTCCTTCTCTTGACCATTAGTTTCAGGATCTCGTCTGTCATCCATGATTTTTTCTTTATTAATATATCTGTCTTTAAGTGTTTATCCTTTACGTGTTTACTTGTTTTCCTGTTTTACGTGGAAGATCAAAACCTGGTGGCTTGTGAGTAATGCAATGCATGTTATTTTGCCATGCATTCCATTCTTGGGACCATGCATTCGTGATGTTGAACTCCTCATGTATCATTCTTGCCGTTTTCATTGGTGGTTTTCTAGAACGTAGACGGGTATTTCGTGCATCCTCGGTATCTTGGTGGATCGGCAGGTTTATATTGTTCATGATCTTTTTGTATTCACGTGTAAGTGCGTCAACTCGTCGTAAATGTGGAGGTGGAATGTGACTTAATACTGGAAGCCATTGGGTGGGAGTTGATTTAATTGTACCAGCTATCATCCTCATAGTGCTGTGCAGCTGAGTGTCGACCTTTTTTACGTGTGGACTGTGTAGCCAAACTGGGGCACAATATTCAGCGGTCGAGAAAACAAGGGCTAAAGCAGTAGAGCGGAGAGTGGAAGCCGATGCTCCCCAGGTGGTACCGCAGAGCTTCTGTATAATGTTATTTCTTGTACTCAACTTTTGGGCAGTTTCTGTTAAATGCTCTTTAAATGATAGCGTTCTGTCTAGTGTTACGCCCAGGTACTTCGGTGTTTTATTGTGGGAAAGTGTGGTATTTTCAAACCGTATGTTGAGTTCCTTTCCAGCAAGTTTATTGTTTAGGTGAAAGCATATTACTTCTGTTTTGGATGCATTTGGTTGAAGCCGCCACTTGCGAAAATATTTGCTCAATATATATACAAGTCTGCCGTCAGAACTTCTTCAGATGTTTCTAGTGTTCTGCATCGTGTAGTGAGGGCCCAGTCATCAGCATATCCGAACTTTCTTGATTGTGTTTCTGGCATATCTGCTAAATATAAGCTAAATAGTAATGAAGAGAGCACTGACCAATGTGGTAGGCCATTCTTAAGTTTCTTTGGTGGGCTGATATCTGTGCCCATCACTAATTGAAACATTCAGTCGTTGAGCATGCTATCTATTAAACGTGCTATTTGTTTCCAGGGGATTGCACGGAGAATTTTGTATATAAGGCCCTCTCTCCATACTGTATCGTAAGCTGCCGAGAGATCAATAAATGCCGCTGAAGTTTTAAGTCTTCTTTGGAAACCCGCTTCGATGTAGGTGGTGAGTGACATTACCTGGTCCGCGCAGCTTCGTTCTGGTCGAAAACCCGCTTGTTTGACTGGGATCACATGGAACAGTTCTGTATTGATTTTATTATATATAAGCCTCTCTAATAGTTTGTAGATGGCAGAGAGAAGCGCAATTGGTCTGTAGTTTTTTGGGTTGTCAGCGGGTTTGCCTGGCTTTGGTATGGCTATTATCTTAGAGCACTTTAGTTCTTGTGGGATATTTCCAGTTTCCATGATGTCTGTGAAAAATCGAGCCAACCAAACTTTTGTATACTTGCCACAATTTAGTAGGAATTCAGGGTGAATATTATCAAATCCTAGTGCTTTTGCTGGCTTAACGTCTTTAAGAGCCTCTGATATGTCTTCGCTGGTGAAGGGGAGGGAATGCTCCGTTTCTGTGGCTACATGTTTTAAAGTTTTAAGTTCTCTCTTTACGTAGATGGTGTGTGCTTTATCCTTTGGTGCCCTGGATGTTTTTACTATATGTGATGCTACGGCATCTGGCTTTACGGCTGCCTCTCGGCGTTTCGTACGGACACCACTCCCTAATTTTCTTAGTAATGACCATGCATGTCTGCTTGATTTCTGAAAGTTTAGACTTTCTACTGATTCGGTCCACTTTTGGCTTCTAGCGGCGTCTAGGCTGTACAGTAGTTCATCCGCTATTTCTTGGTCGCCAGTTTTAAGAAAGCTCTGATATAGTTCCTCGCTATTTTCCGACCAGCCAGGAACATATTCTTTGCGATATCCTCTTGGTATGTGTTTTTTGGCTACACTTAGCACGGCACCAACAAATCTGTGGTAGTTTTTGATATTCGGTGTAATCCACCCTACACATTTATCTAGATCCACAGAGAAGTCAATCCAGTTGGCCTTTTTAATATTCCATCTTGGACGTGGGATAGAACTAATTAAAGGGATTTTCGTCCCTACTTCTATTATTACTGGTCGATGTTGGCTGTGTGGGAAATCAGTTAGAACTCTTCGTGAAGCCCCTAGAGGTAAGTCTTTGTTGTCGGTTGAGACGAAGCATAGGTCGGGGTTGTACTCCCGCCTCCATGCCGCAGATCTGAAGGTTGGTCGATCTTTGGCATCAAACAAAAGGTATAGGCGTTCGCCTTCTGCCCATTTTATTAAAGCATTTCCATTTGCATCACTATTTTTGTACTTCCACTGTTCATGATGGCTATGGTAATCTCCAACATATACAGCAGGGTGAGGCTGTACTGGAATTGCTTGGGCTGGCCAAGAAGTAGCAGGTGGCTTGTAAATGTTGGACACGGTAATGCTAGCGATTTTTGTGACCACATTATAAATACAGTCATCAGTGGAAGTAGAGATTAGCGAAGCATTTTCAATATCTTCTTTGACATATGTGGCTGTGCCATATGTTCGGTGGTAAGTTGCGCCTAATAGATCATATCCCGGTATTTTGCCCCTTTTTTGTAGTTGCTCCTCTGTTTCGCAGTGGGTTTCCTGTATAGCAACTAAGTCAATGTTGTCACCTTTTAATAGTTTTGATAAAAACTGTCTTTTAGCATAGCTTATGCCTTCTATGGTTATGTGGCAAATTCAAACTATAGGTCCGATTGGTCTAGTTGTGCGGTCCTCACAAGGGCCGTTTATTTTGTTTATCATCTTTCGTTGGAAGTGTTGTTTGGTCAGGAGATGCTAAGGATTGTCTGACTGCCAGTATGTGCTAGTTCATTTAGCGTTACCCAGGGTGCACGTGTAGTATTCTACTACGGACGCGAACTAGCTCTACACCCCATCAACTGAATTTAAAAATATTTACATAAATTACCTATACATAGAAAGTTTACCATTTATAAATACAATTCAAAAAGTACTTACATTTAACAAAAATTACATGGACAAGTCAGTTTCACTATTACTGTCGTTATCTAGATCTATAATAATTGTTTCTTTGAGCAACCTGTCTGTATTTATATCAGTAGCGGATCAAAGGGGGAGCAACGAGGAGTCATGACCATCCCCAAAACAAAATTAAATATCAATCAAACAATTAAAAAAAAAGAATTTAAAACCCATCAACGCTATAAACAGGAAGTCATGAGTTGAAATGATTCAAACTCATTTTTTCTAGGGATAAGTGTAGAATTATACGGAAGCTGAATACAGTAATACCTGTCGTGTTATCGAAGAGGGGTTACAAATAATAATCGTTACTTCACATAAACATCAGTTTATTCTCAACCCTAAAACATACATCCATGCCCGAGCTTCGGCTACCTTCACATGACATGTCTAACCATCGTCATCCGTGTTGCCTAACTCCGGCACCTATATCTTAAACTAGGCTAACAACACATCTCCCTTTTTTTGGGAGCAATTCATGGCAACAATTCTCCCATGACAACAATTCAAATGGCAATTTAGATCTTTCAGGCCAAGAAGACAAAGAATATTCTTTTAGTTTTTTACAAATATATTCATTTTCT